AAAAAAAAATGCCCAGAATGTGAATAAAACAACTTAAGGACAAATGTACTTATTTTCAGAGTCCTGTTTGGCCTTCTCCATATTACATTCTCATACATATCCAACTTTTGACATCCTACCAGGCCAAAGAATCTACTGCATGTCCTGTATAATCAAAAACAAAAGGTGTTTGTGTTTCTGGGTAATTCCCCATAGGAAGAGCACAAGGGTGGCCGCTATTGTCATGCTATTGTCTCCCTCAAAACCAATCCTCAAAGATGAACGTGTAGTAGAGCTTTTCAAGTGACTATTTTCTCAAGTGAAAAGTTTTCATTCAAGTAGGATATTGAGCAGAAGGCACTGCTAAGAACCACACTTGAAGCCACACAATAACATTCCTCTGTCAGAACAGAGAAACATATTAAGTGCCATGGCTATGCCATATATGCTAAGTACTAAATACACTAATGAAATTGTTCATAGCAAAGCAAAATTATCTTGACAATAAACTACATGGGTCCTATTTAATCACTCTTTTTTGCTCAACTAATCAAAAAGCAGCATTTTTTTTTTCTTTCAAAGCTCCACACTTCCTATTGCCACTAGCCAGTTTTGGAACTGGTAACAAAAGGCAAGATTAAACATTGCTTTTAATAACATTATATAAATAAATTATGGGTTGTTTTATCTTCTTTATCACAAGAAATCAGAGAATGTAAATGTGAAATTACAGAAATCGTTTTCCAACATGAAAATTTTAACAGCACCAAACTATCGACAATATTAAAACAGCGATTCATTTGCTTATCAGTATTGAGAATTATGCAAAGTTAATTTGTATTACTTACTGGCATATAATAGATATTCATTTTAGGGGCTTCATTGGCAGTCATTAGCATTCCTAAAAAGAGATTTCCAAAGTAAAAATATTGGTCATAAGAGGACAACTTTACTTTTTTTTTTTTTAATACATATATTTGAGGCATTTAATTCTGATGAAGTAGATTCATACGTTCATTGCAAATGAATTTCAAAAGACAAGCTAAGCTTACAGTATCTTTTAAGAAAAGCAGAGAAAATGGAAAATTTACTGCTGTCAAAAATAAGAAATAGGTGAAAGGGCCCTCTAATAAGTTGCTGCTTCATACGCTAAGAAAAGAAAGGTATGATGGCAGTCAATGAAGCTTTTTTGTTATATACTTATACCTTTTGTTCTGTAACTTAACAGCTGGTCATTTTGCTTAAAGCAACCTTTAATTCTGACAACTGCAGACTACCGGTTTTCATAACAAATTTAAATAAATAGATTATCCTGTATGACTATTTAGAACAAATCCAGGTTGAATTGCTCTTAAAACCCCGGACACAAACAAGGGTACATGTATTAGTACAGATGTATTAAAATCATATGTATTAATAACATAAGGGTAATTTTTTTTGCTTTGTTTTGTTTTTAAATACACACACATACATTCTACACAAAGTCATCAATTATACCAAGTTTACATCTTTCTAGATATTTCATTTTGGGAAACCAAGGATATCCTTCCAACATAAAATGAGAGACAGGATTTTGTGGCTTCAAATATAATATTAACAGTGATATTAATAAACTGGGGCAAATATAAAACTTGAAATACCTATTATTACAGAAATAAGATATTCTAGGTAATGACTGAAAATAATCTGAATATAAAAACTACTGTAGAAATAATGAATTCATGGAAAATATGGATATGGATCATAGGATAAGTTCAAAGTGAGATTTAGTCTGTTTCTTCCTACATGAGAGCACAGTAAGGACATTTGGCTGGCATATACTTTATGCTTGTCTCAATTTTGACTTTTCGTGTAGCTGAACATCATGTATGACAAGAAGATGGAGCATAGAAAAGAAGAAGAAAAGAAGCAATCAAGTTAGATAACTTTCTGATTAAAAGTACTGTAACTTATGCTGCTGAGACTATGAATAATGGGGTCAATTACCACACACCCAGAGGGTAGAAATATAATTTACACCCAACTAGAAGAACGCAATTAACTTGGGTGGGGTAATCCTTCCTACCTAATCCTTTTATTAAAAATATACAATGCAGCTGGACTCTCAGTGTTGGGAATAAAAAAGGGGGGCTTTCTTTCCTGGCAAAGCAAGAAATTTGTGAAAGCTTAGTCAGCAAACTAAGGCTAAAATACAAATCCATAAAGGTTTACAGGCAGGAGTTTAAGGAAAAAAGGCAAGAATTTACAGCATATGTTTCATGAATTGAGCGCCCTTAATGCCTCAGTATGTTCACCACCACCACAGGAGAAAAGGCATTTCTCTATTTACTGAATAAAAAACACTAGAGATAAAATATTGGAAATTAATTCTGCAGGTGCTTCCAAGATGGTCATGAAAGAAAGCCTTATCTTTCAGAGTCTTCCACCTATTACTAACGGCAAACAGTCTACTTCGATCACTTGCAAGATACTTCAGAAAGAAATAAATGAGAAATAAATGAGAACTCTTATCTTCCAGGGAAGAGATTTTAATAGGACCATATTAGGAAAGTAGTATGCAATGTGGCATTACCACTTTAAGGGGACAACTATGGAGCAGTATTAAATAAGAAAAATAGCTTTAAAGAAAGGAAAATTTTTCTTTTAAATAATTTTACAATCATTGAAACAGAAGCACAAATTTCCACTCATTGCTGCTAAAATGCTGTTGAGTTTCATTTATGTTACAGAACTTAGCTGGAGTTGAGTCAATGTTACTCAATAATGGCAAAACTTCTCTCCCTCAACCCTATTCTGTGCACGTGTAATTAAGAAGAGAGAGACCCATAATTACTTTAAGAGTTGCAATAAACCTGGTCATCATTGGTCATCATGTAGTTTGGTTAATGACGCACAAGGTTTGTTTCCTATGAAAGATAGCAGCTCTGAAGCTAGTTGGTAAAACTGTTTATTAAAAAATAAATCCCTTAGACTTAAGAATAAGTTTTTCACATTAAACTGATCCACAATTTACCATAAATATTTCACAATATTTTATGTTTCAGTGTAGCTTCTGTTTTCTATTCTGTTATTGTTTTATAATTTGGACAATGCAGCATTGAAGTATTTAATTACAATACATGCAAATGACTTTTTCTGTAGAAAAGAGCTGGAATTAATATGAAGTAGCAGCTATCTTTTGTCATTTTAGAATGAAATTAGAATATTACAACCCTTACAGCAAAATTATAAATATAAAATGAAAAAGTAAAATACCTACATGCACTAAACAACATTCTCCTAAAAGTATTCTAAATGTGAATTCAAGGCCTTCTTGTTCATGACATTTCTGAAATTATTTTCTTCAGGTTTAAAACAAAATATATGTTTTTAAATAAAAGTCTAAACTTTGACCACATCAACAACAACAACAACAAAACACGAGCATCTTGTCCTATGCAAGGATGAAGAGCAAACACTATGTTTAAGTGAAGTATAGCCATGCTATTAGGGTAATGGATTTGAGAGCAGTAGTTTTGCATGAAGCATTAAGAGTACAGCCTGGGCAAGAATCTCTTGGGATTTGCATCCAGGAGCTCAGGGACCAAAGAGAGCATGTTAATAACAGCAGCAGTGCTCAGGTGATTCTGTATTTCCCATTTCCCACAACTGGAAATTGGTATTACTGAAAAACAGTTCCTGATTTTCAGGAATTTAATTATTCAAATTTGGAATGAAGATAAAGCAATGCTAGCCATCTTACATTTTTGTCACTGACAAACAACTTAGCTGCTTTTCACTCCTCTTCACGGTCCCCTAATTATCAACACTGCAGGGATATTAATCCACTCCCTGGCTCTCTTTTGGATCAAATCAGTCAGCTCCTCGGAGATGAAACCTGGATGAGGTTCTAAGGACAATTCACTCTAATGACCTCCCCCTGGAGCTATGGAAGAGACAAGACCAGGTTTGGCTACCTCAGTTACCTACTACTGCAGAGTCCAGGTTGTTATCACAGCTATTCTCAAATACTCGCAAATTGCTCATGAACGAAGCACAACCAGGACACGCAATATGTACCCTGAGCCTCATGCCACAGAGTCCATATTCTGCCCGACTTTGACTTACTGCTTATTATTGGTTATTTCTGTCACTCTGAACCGGGAAAAATTCAAATACAGAGGACATCAATAAAGAGGTATTTATGTCTTTTTGAAGGCTCAGTTAACCTGGCCCAACTGCTAAGCTGTCTAACACCACTCTGTTTCAGGGGGCTTAACCCTGAGCACTGTGGAAATGATCTAATATTTTTTTTTTCAGAGAGATCTTAGAGACCCTTGAGGTTTTGCACGAGCCCGGAAATGCCCACCCTCTCAGCAGTGCACAGTATTTAAAATACTCATCTTGCAGGAAATAAAGGACACATTCTTAACTGAATTTGGCAGAAAAGACAAGATAAGTTGTAACTTGTTAGAAATCGCAAACTTACTTATCTACAGTCTAGATTTTCAGCGGCTAGTACAACCCAAAGCCTAAGTCACTGTCTTCAGAATTACTTCTATCTAAAATTAAGAGAAGTGCAGAGTTTGCAACATAGCCATTCTCAGGATCAAGAATTTTGTCACGTGCCATTCTAGAGAATTTTCACCTTTTATAGTACTGCTTTCTATAGGGGAATTTGGCGACATATACTAGTTAACAACTAAGCAACTAAAGGCAAGGGGGGAAGTTAAAGCCTGTTATATCTCAGGTACAACCAAAGCAAACGCGTACGTATAAGCACCATTTGGCAAAATGTTTTTTCTCAGAAAGTAAGATCCAGAAACTTTAGTTAAAATGACTCTGTTTTGATTTTTAAACATACCCTTACAAGACTGAGTAAATTTGAACACAGAGTAAACATGGAAATCTGTGCACTTATAAATCAAAAATTTAATATACTGGAAATGTTATAAAAACTTAGAAATTTAAAATTTTAAACAGAGTATTAAATCCTAAGTAGGGCACAAGAAGTTCTGTATCTAAAATCAAGAAACTCAAATATTTGTAAACACTTGTAGAATTTTGTAACCTTGTCAAAGATGTTTTTACTAGCTCTAGAAAGCAAGCTATGATTCATTTGGGACTGAGATCATAAAAAGGTCCAAAATCATATTCTTATTAAAGGCTTAAGGCAAAAGTTGTTGATCATTCAGCTGACAGCACAGTAGCTTTTAACTACAAAAGAGATTTAACACAGATGCAGAGGAAACAGTGACACTAACTGAGAAGCAACCATTTTGTCCTCGATCTAACATAAGGAAGAAAGTAGACCTAATCTGTATCACCTGAACAAGAAAAAAAAGATTATATCTTTGGGTAACATCAGCTTTCACTTTTGCACTTCATATTATCTAATATACCTGAATTTGGATAAAGACAGACATCATTGATATCATGTTCTGGCTCCATTGAAGTAAATATCTTCCCCTGAAATTGAAGGAAGAAAATATATTACAAAGAATTCAAACAATATAATTACATGCAGTACAACTAAATGTTAAAAGTGGCCTTATAGAAGCTAAGAAATATGGAACAAAGACAGACGAACATAGGGAATTCAACATTGTATTTTGTCACTGATCAGGTCTCTTACAAGGAGGTGTAGCCTGCACATTCCTGAAGACACAGCAATGCACAGCGAGACCTGCACTTGCTCTGCCCCAACTCTGCACTGAAAGCACAAATGGCAGATCTGCTCTCCTCAGCTTTTATCAACTGCAACAAACAGCTGCTGCATCATTTTGTAGGAGCATGATAAAGTCCTGGCTCACTGGGGTACAGACTTTGTTTTGTCCAAGGCTGAACGGTTTTAAATAGTTTCATTTTTAGTAAGCATGCTAGCCGAAATGATAGTTTGGCACTGGAATTTGATTCTGCAGGTTGCTTCCTCCAATCAGCTCATGTCTACATAAAAATTAGGTACAGCACACTGTTTTATCTGCAGTTTATAAACTCAATATCTCAACATTATAGAGGCCTGAATAAATACACTGATCTGTATCTAACTCAGAAAGAACAGAATTGTAGTTGTAACAGCACTTAAAAAAAGGTAAAAGCAGGAAACAACATTCCCAAAAAAAAAAAGAATTGGAACAGAGTCTGAAAAACCCAGACAAAATACAGGTGCTCTTATATGCCAACACATAAGACAGGCAGTAAAAGAAGAGTCTCCAAGAACTGGGCCACAGATCCTGAAGCGTGAGCGTACATGTCTACACAGCTCTAAATGAGGGACAGGAACAGAGTCAATTTTGATCCTGTTCCTCTTTTTTCTTCCCCTGCAGCAATCCCACCTACCTTTCTGGGCCCTTCCTTCCCCTCCCAGTTGGATGTTGCCACCCCACCCACCTCTGGTCTCTCCCCGATGATTAATAGGAGTCTCCCCCCACGCCGGCCTTAGCAGACAAAGCGCCTCCTCGCGCTCCCCACCCCAAGGCACGTCCCAGCACGGGGCTATTCTGCTATCAAAGCCAGATGCTCTCCGCCCCAGTCTGCCTCTGCAGTTGGGTCCCGGCCAGAGATAGTCAGGAACCAACATCTGGCAGAGGTGGAGCCAGCTGGAATACACGCCAGGAAAGCATCCAAAGCTATCTGTGCCTCCCGGCAGCAAAAAAACCTCCCTTTCCCCACTGCAGAGGCCACCTGACAAACCTTACAGCTTTTAATTCTCTCAGAGAGGAATATATGTACCTAAGGAAAATGGAGAGAGGCCACTGCAGATGTTTTAAATAATAGCCAATAATTTATTTGCCTTTTCAGACAATGGAAAGTAACTGCAGAGGAGCTTACAAAAAAACAGAAATCACACAAGAAAATAAAAGAGGCTATTGAAAGTTCATGAAGAAGCACAACAATATAAAGTAGCTGCTTGAAATGTTAGAGAAAAACCTTTAAATTACTTTAACTGCTCTTCATATACTTAATTACAAACCTAGAAAAGCAAAGATACAGGATAAAGCATGTTCTTTAGAAGGAATACAATGACTAAAGACAGCCCCTTAGACCAAACCAAATTATAGTAGTATTGCCATGGATCTACGGGTTAGTATATTTTGTGCAAGATGCGCTGGTGAAAAGAAAAAAATAGCACCATATCACAAAAAGAAGCCTCGTAGAGAGTTCAACTTCATGTATAGGGGCAGAGGACATTTTCTGATACAATATAATCCATTATTACAAAGTAATACGCATTGCGATCTTGATGTAGGATTGGATTGCTCTTCTGTGGAAACAAGCAGTATCTGATTATAATAGTTTACAAACTAACTAATCTACCTTTGAAGTTATCCCTTTTTTTGAGTAGGAAATTGGATTGAAAAATCAGAAATGGATGTGTTCAAGCACACAATGAGAAATGCACAAACCACAGCAATGGCTAAGATAGTGCTTTTTATTTTTAAATTCTCTTAAACTCTTCTGCTGAAAGAACCATCTTAGATGCTTAACAAATCATTAAAGAAACAAGACAGTGTACCTGGCAGACTGTTGGGGACCTTTTCAGATGTTGGTTTGTTTAGTCAGACAAGACAAAATACTATGAAAATTAGAGCACATTAAAACAAATCCTGCACTGAATTTAAGCTTTTCTATTTAACTTAAAACTGCACAGGAAAAGAAAAATGAAAATACAAGACACAAATGCAACAACAAAAACACTTACTGTATCTTTGTTCCACATTTTTATGATTCGAGAATCTGCAGAGATAATTAAATCTAACTGATGTTGAAACTGAATTGACTTAATAGGCAGCCCATACTGGTGATCTTTGATTATTAATGGATTACTGGACCTGAGATCATACAATAAAACCTAGAAAGACAAAACACAGATTATACTTAAAATCAAGAGGAGGTCACCTAAAACAATTCTCCTCTAACAATTTCAACAAAACTGTGATTTTTTACTTAAAACACATAACAAGTTTTATATAACAGAAATAATTTTAAGAACTGAAGAATGCTTATTAAACCAGCCCAGTTTACAATTTATTTTAACCAGCAACATGCTTCAGTCTAGAAAAATAAAGAGCAAACTTAAGACTCGACCATCTTTCTAAAATCTTTTTAATTTTTACTAAAAAAAAAAAAGAGCTGTTTTCAAGGCTCTTTGTATCTCTTAATTAACAATTTTCAGATTCTTGTACTATTCTTGCAAGATTTAAATTTTTAGAGGCCTTTCTAGATTCAGTGAATATCCTCTCACTCAGTCATTCAGTAAAAAAAAAAAAAAGTGGTGGGTTTTTTTTGATTATTAAGAAAATGACCATGTCTGCACTCTTCTCTCAAAATCTGCATTTTTCTCTCAAAATTACCTACAATACCGAGGAATACCTTAAATCTTTCACACACAAAGTGTAAACACTAATAATTTGGAGAAAGATTTTTTTAAACAAAAAATATATTCTCTAATAAAACTGGTCTTGCATGTACACTAAGACCATCACAGCTAAAACTCCTAAGTCTGCACCTGCTCCTGAACAAGCTGCAGTTTTCTAACCTTCATGAAAGACCCAAGAGGGGAAAAAAATCTTTGTACTCCACTTTGTAAACGGATTGGTAAAAATGAATAAATGAATAGAAATAATCCCCTCCTATGCCCAGAAGAAGAAAATAAAAATCACTTCTGCAAGATAAGAGAGAGCAGTTATGCAGGTTTGAGATGGTACTGACAGAGCCACAAAAAGGAATAACCTCCTCACATACTTAACTCCTAAGTTAAAACTGCAGAATTTGAAACTGTATCGTGTGATTCTGTGATGACTTCAAGCTGCAGCCTACAGCATTCTGAACCATAAGAGCATTTGATCAGTTTAACCTGGACTTTAAAAATGACTATTACTCTATACTCTTATTTTTATTATTTTATATTCACACCACAGTAAGCGTACTCAAAGCATGAGCTGACAATAGCAAAATAGCACCTCCTAAGGTTTACTGTACATGACGTTAAAGCTACCTGCCCAGTAGATGTTCCGACGGCCATATTCAAAGCTCCATTAAATTTCAGTGCTGAAATGGATGGTAAACCATCTATCCTGCAAAGCATAACAATTATTGTTAGACATTATTTCAATAAAAGTTGTAAATATTTAAGAAATTAAAAAACTAATTAATGCAAATTGACTTATTTTATATCGCTAAGAAGCACTTCTTCAAAAAAGCTGTATTATTCATATTTACAACTTGTAGTAATATAAATAGTTGAAGATCAGCCATTTTTATTCACATCAATTACTAAGAGACAAAATCACAATGAATCCTTTATTCCCACTAGGAATGAGATTATTTGCAGACCATATTAATGCAAAATAGGATTTGTTTCTAAAGGCAAAACTTCTCAGAAAGGAAGAACACACTTTCTAAAGGTAATTTGTACTCACTCTGTGTCTGCTGTCACACTGCTTAAAGCACAATCCAACACCCCAACTCGATTTCTAGTTCTAGGGTCCCAGCATTCCACCTTGCCCTAAACGGTGCAGAAAATATATTCTGAGCTTATATAAAAAACATTTCTAGTATTCTGAAAATGTTTTAATTATGAATAATTTCACATATAATCATATTTCATAGGCTGACATGGGTTGTTTTAATAATGACATACAATTTCTACAGATTTTTTTTAAAAAACTGTTATCTGAAAGTAAACTCTTAAAACTAATTTCCCGATATTAATATCGTGTAAACGCTAGCTAATTTCTACCATGTTTAAGGGAAGACAATCTTATTTTCTCTCTCTTCTGAAAAATCTTAAGCATCAACAGCAACCAATACAGCTCAGAAATTTTAACTACATTACACTCTAAAAACGGATTTCTTGTTTAATGGTTCAATAGCTAACAGGTTAAATGAGATTAATTAGCTACATGTCATGACTTCTTATCTTTTTCAAACTAATATAAAATAAAAGTGAATATTATTGCCCTTTTATAAAAAATAAATGCAAACATTTACCTCAGCTGTCCCTGCAGCAAACAAGAAGTGTGTAGGATTTATGTCACAGACATTATTCTCACTAAAACACAAAAAGGAGCGTGCTTAATGACCTCAGATTAACTTGACACATGAGTAACTAGAAAGATTTTGGTAACCATGAACACTACTGCTTAGCCTGAAGAAACAAATGAGCACCTAATAGCAGCTTCGCAGTACCTAAGATAAGCATACCAGGAAGTTGGAGCCAAGCTCAGAAGACAATCAGAGAGAGTGCACAAAACCTGAAACAGAGGGGGCTCTGACTGGATGTAAAGATAACATTTTTCACCAGGAGGATAATTAAACACTGGAGTAGGTTGCTCGGAAAGGTGGTGGAATCCTTGGAGCTCTCAAGACCCAACTGGACAAAGCCCTGGGCAACCTCATCTGAATTAGCACTGATCATGCTTTGAGCAGAAGAAAGGACTAGCGACCTCCTGGGCTTCCTTCTAACCTGAAGGACTCTCTGACCATACTCACCACCCCTACAATCAAGGCTTGCCACATCTCTCTCCTCCACTGTATACTCAATTTCATCAAAAGGTCTTCCAGATTCCATATCCTCCAAAGCTTACAGAAATCCCCATGTTATGAGCATATTCTGAGCAACACCCTCTCTGAAGTACCCGGTTCTCAACAGGGCACCTCAGGAGCTTCATATATCCCCAACAGCTCTTTCAGAGCACAGATATTTATTTTTGTGAAGCCTTGGCTGCTCCTTACATCCCAGATCCCTACCCATCCCAAAGCCAACTTCTGCCATTCAAAGTCCTCCACCTCTAGTTCTACAACACCTTTCATTCTCCTGCCTTACAGCCTTCTCATATCTTCAAGTCTCATCTCTGATTCAGATTTCCCACAGGAACCACAACTCCTCCACTTCTGGCTTATCCCCTTTGTTCTGCTGCTGCTCCAGTTGTGTCTGCCTACACATTGCTACTAAGCTATCTTACCCACTGAGCATTTGCTATCGTCCACCTACTGACCACTTTAGCCAGGCAAGTCTGTCCTCCTGACACACAAAAGCAGCTCAGCAGCTGCTCTGATCGATATTTCAAACAAATTAAGACACAAGTTGATGATATAAAGACCTATTCTGACTATTTCAAGAGCAGAAGGACAACAGCACATCTGGGAAAGTTCACCCCTGTGGTAGACCTATATATGATGATTAAATTGAGGATTAATCTAATGTGATTAATGGTAAAGGTTTAATGGAACGTTCTCAAGATCAAGTTATGCGATGCAAAGTCTAATATTAAGCAATTCTAAAATTGCTTAATATATAAAACTCTATTAAAATATTTTTTTAAAAAAAGAAAAGAATGACAGAACATGAAATAGAACTCAGCATATGTTCCTTTCTGACCTCTACCTTGCAATGTACTCGGCAGCATTCAGATACAATGCAGAGCGTGAGCCTGGCAGGAGCTTGGCTCCACCTGGTGGGTGGAAAAGTCATCATGCACTAAAAGCACTTACGAAGCATCAGTCTGCAAGGAGTTCAGAAACCTTCCTTGTTCCAGGTTTAGTCTGTATACTTCAGAACTACAAAGTAAAAAAAAGAATCTAAAATTACTAATTCCTCTTGCACATGCTGAAAAATATTGTTATGAGTTAGTGGAAGTCATGAGAACTGTTGTCAAGAGCTTAAATTAACTAAATATAGAATTTATGAGATAAACCCACCTTTCAAAAAAGCATATGTTCACTAAAACAAATGTGACATTATAATGACATATCAATTAGTCTTTTCCAGGTAAAAGATGCATTAATTCCCTTCTTAAGATTTTTAAAATTTGCTCTGATTTCCCTTACACCTTGAATCACAACTTGTTTGACACTTTAAAGACCCTGTTCTACTTTTACTATGTCTTCAAAAATTCAGTTCATTGCATGTGATTGTACTCAGTAAACTAAATTTGAACAGTACTGAAACACCAGCCAAGAAAGAAAACTCATCTTTTCTTATTTAGATGTTCAGCATTTTTTAAAGTAAAATGAATTGCAATTTTGATAACAAGCTTCCAAATACATGATACACCTGGTTAAAGAATCACAGCCTTAAATGATAAAACAAACTGCGTTAATCTCTTATTTCCCACATTTTCTACTCTTCACAAACAGTGTCCACTATGAATGTGGAAGTTATACCATTTTTTCCAATAAAAAGTATTCTCAACTTTTTCATTATTTTTATGTTCACTTTACTACTGGAAAACATTCCTAACAAAAGTGAAACAAATAAATCCATTTGATCAATACCTTGCTGCTACAAAATACAGGTCACATGATGGATAGTGGTAAGAAAAATCTCTACCAAATTTTGGTATTCTTGTTCTGTAGTAGTGACCATGCTGTGAATGAAACTCCACAAATCTGTCACACTGCAAGAAGACAATCTGAAAATAAAGTAGAAGGGATAGAATATACATAAGACAACAGCAGTGTTTCATCAACTTCTGTTGTAACACAAACTCCAGTGATTTTTCAAACTTGCACAGGGTTATTGCAGTCCATGTCAATTCTGTCATTTTTAGTAGGAACGATTTACAAGTGCTTTGTCATTTCCACTAGCCACGACAAAGCACTTTATAAATATTAAATCAACGTTTAAAGTTTATGCGATATCTTGAAACTAACTCTGCAACCAAAGGCAGTAGCTGTTAGCCTGGCCCAAAATCACACACAGAGGATGCAAATAATATGGGCAGCCACAGAAAACTCTCGCCTCTGAGCCTCATCTTTATTTAGCTTAGGACAGAACAGGTGCTAGTTCAATTTAGAATACATATAATGCATGTGCCTTCATACACCTGGTGCAGAGTTAAGATTTTTTTTTTTAATCTCAACTGCTGGATTATATTTTTAGCAATGCAAATAATGATAAGAATCCCAAGAAAAAGCAAATACCACTGTGGTTTTAATTCTTTCACCTTTGTGCATAAACCTATATATTTTTCCTCTATGGGACATGAAAGAAGTACTAATTGTATTATCACTTCATAAAAAATTATCACCAAATCTCCTCTTAGTTAAATCTTTTCTATTATCAGAATTATATTCTATTATTATAACTCTATAATTCTATTATTAACTGATAGGCCCTCTTAAGATCCAAAACAAAGTGGAATATTTTCTTTCAGAAGGGTAAAGAGCGTTTTACACAAGAACACAAATGCAGCTACCCAGGTAATGTTAAACACCACCATTCCTGAACACACTCAGCACTCTGAGGATGGCTGAACACTGGGACAGGCTGTTTGGATAAGCTGCAGAGTCTCTCTCCTCAGAGATACTGAAAACCTAACTAGTCCTGGGCAGCCAGCCCTGGGCAACCAACACTGCTGCTCTCCAGATACTGCTTCCAGCCACAAGTGTTCTGTGACCTTGGGTTGTATACGAAAAACACAATCAAGTGTGCCTAGTGTGCCTAACACCTTCATCCTTTTTACTGGAGGTCTAAAACAAGCAAAGCTTTTTACTTACTTCCTTAAAGCAATGTTCAGATTGAATATTTCCTCTATTGTATCTACTAAGTCACGACAAAGGAAAAACTTTTGCAGCTTTATGCAGTACAGAAGCTAAATAAACTCAAGAGAGCATAAAATTAAGTCATATTTAAATAACAATATAAAATCTGCTATCAAATTAATAGTAAGCCATCAAAAAACTGTTACCAGGAGGAGAAAAGACTCAGTGAGAATGATGCACTTTTCATTTTCAATGAGAAATGTGCATACTCATTTTTCTCTTGCTCTCTTCGCATTCTACAGGATTGGAATTAAAGATGTTTTCTTCTATTATCCTCAGATACAGTTCAACGGAACTCATATTTGTTTTTCCTTCTTACTATATTAATTGTGGTCACTAGAGCAAACTATAACGTTTGCGTAGCAAAAGCAAAAAGATTTGTGCTGTGTGGCAAAAGTCACTAGGTGGAAACCCATGCATTTTTCAGAAGGCTGAGGAGAAAGAGACTTCAAGCTTTTTGCAGTCTGAAACTAGGAAAGTTCAGAAGCGCAACTGGGATTGTAGATGGCAATTTGAATATGAGCCAGCAATATGTTCCCGTAAATAAGCATAAATAACATCATAGAAATACTGATTGGAAAAGTAGGTTAAGTGCATCAAGTGTAAGTTCTCAAACATTGTCCCTTTTTAATCATGTTTAAGACATCAATAAAACAACTACCTGAAAACAGTTTTCTTTCTAACTATTTGGTTCACTTTTGGAAAATAAAATTGAAAATAAGGTCATGTTAACTTGCCAAACCAGGGCGCCAGCCTGGAACGCAGTACCAATTTTAGCTCAAGACATGCACAAGACTTGCTAGCAACCCATCAGAAACAGATCTGTGAACATATGTTTCTCACCCACATAGCTGTTTGGTCTTTACAACAGGGAAATATTAGCCCATGGAAAGCAGACAGGTTGGAGACAACTCTAATGCATCATCAGTGCAGCCTTCTACTTGAAATCACACACATGCTTAGAAACCTCAAGGGGGAATTTTGAAAAGGCTAGACCTAGAAAACTGGATCATAATGTCTCTAATGACTTGGAAGTATTTGTTAACACAAACCCACAGCAGAAATGCAAGGATCTCATCTCAGAAGAATAAGTAAACATTTGACTGAAATATTTCTGATAATTTTCCCAAAGAAATCAGAAATATTACTTAAATAATTTTCATATTCTATTAGCACATAATACCCCGATTAATCAACAAACGAGAGTTTACAGAAAGAGGTTATATATATATATATATTAACACCAACTGTTGCAGCTGGAGAAAACAGAGGAGCTTTAAAGCACAGAAACTTTTCTTCAGGTCCTCAGCAAAATTGTAAGAGGTATCAGCACCAGACTTGAAGAAAAGCTCATGGACCTAAGAACTCAACTGTTCTCTAGTTACAGCAACTCAAAAAACAAAAGATACTTCTCTCCACTATTTTTGCCTCATTCATATGCTTAGATCATGTTGACTACAACCACCCTGCCAGATCAGGCTATTTACTTAGTTGTAGCTATCCCACCTTTCAAATATGGTGCATCTGAGCTACTGTCACAAGTTACTGTGATTATACATTATCATAAAAAAGAATGGTTAGTTCTGCTTTTTACATTATTATTTTCTTCACAGAACAGAACATTATTTGAACATTTTCTCTATTACAGACAAAAGACATGAAAGGCGGTAAGGCAAATTATAGTACAAAGAGGCAAAGAAAACAGACAACATTTTGAAGGGATAAAAATGTTTACCCCTCCTTTTTTTTTATTATTTTGCTGTTCCAAAAGTTGTGATTGACTGCCTAAACCATATATGAAAATGCATTTTAATATACACATTAAACACATTTTCTCATTTATACATTCAGAACATTAAACATACCTTTGAGTAATCATCTGATAAAATCTCAAATGTAACCACTAGAGGAGAGAGCAAGAAGGTTTTAAGTCAGCTAAGCGAGCAAACTTATTTGCAAACATTGGCATAAATCCTGAAAACATTTACATTTATGTTAACCTTTAGTCATGTAAGTATTCCCCACAGGTGTCAATGTATCATGCAGGCATTGCGATAAAAATCTTTAATTATATAACTTCATTTGCAAAACAGTAAGTACTTTTATAAAACTTCAGAAACATATGAAGCATCTTGTAATCTTTTTATCATTTTTGTACATTTGACGTTTTCCTCAACATGATGCTCAGCCACCTATTTATTGGCACAAGGAAGGTCCAATCCAATAGTGTCTTCAGTTTTGTGTGTGGTCCATGAATCTTTGATAATGCACAAATGGTAATTAAAAGAGTTCATATACGCTGACTTTCTAAGGTGTCAGCACTTCCACAGAAAAAAAGTTTTAAGGAGCCAATAATTATGATTGGAAAGTTATTATCTATACTGATTGGAATGCATTGAACTTCAGCTAGCTTAAATGATCTGGGGCAGGTAGTAGCTGCTTCAGCTAAACTGCCTGCATTTAAATGAGCTACCTTATTTGAAGTTACGTGAAGTGACTCTATGCTAATTTCAAAGTAAACATAACTCCACAGTCTAGCGAGATGGCAGCTCTAAAAAAAAGTAACTGTCAGTTCAAAGGTATCAGCAAGCATCCACTAGTCCAATGATTTTTAGTCTTTTAAAACCAGGTCTCACTCCTGCCACCTCTTCTTTTTCCCAGGCACTACCAACCCTTATCCCTACGCCTCCTCTCCTCTTAATTACTTGTCCCTTCACTACATGATTATTTGTAGTGCTCAGGCATAACGTAAGAAAACATCACTACACTTTCCTCCTTTTTCCATAACCTAATTCAGTCGTTTTCAGTTTTTGTTTTTATTCTACAGTTTTGCACACATAGCAGCTAGAGCACAGCTTCATTTTTTTATAGTGACTTAAGACTTCTGCCACTCTCTACTCATCCCTCACTGTTTTGCTCCTAAAAATGAAAACCTTCCCCAAATCTACGCCTCCTAAACACAGAGCAGCTCACTCACTGGCTCCTTGTCGTCCTCAAGCTCCTACAGTTTTCCTCAATCCAAAATAATAGCAAATAAGATGTAGTCAGGGCCTTGTCCATGCTACCACCTAGCTCTAACATATCCCTGCTATTACAGAAGGAATATATATATATATATAGATGATGTCTCTCTGATGTCTAAAGTGTAATAAGAAAATGAACTACTTTTACTTCTTATAACTCAAGGTGATGAAAGAGGTAGATATATCTCAGATAAATAGTACTATTTGACGAAAAATATGACTGCAGTTTTATAATAAAAGGAGATATTGCTGGGATCTGTACTATAATTATCTGTCCAACAAAGAGAAGTTGTGGAGTCTCCTTCTCTGGAGATCTTCAAAACCTGCTTGAACACAGTCCTGTGCCATGTGCTGTAGGTGACCCTGTATGTGCAGGGGGGTTGGACTAGATGACCTCTAGAGGTCCCTTCCAACCTTAAGCATTCTATTTTATTTATATATACATATATATATAGACACACACGCACATATATATATGTATGTATATCAGAGAATTCTCTTGCTCCTGTAACTCATCGAGTGAGCATGGGCTTCAACAGGAAAACAATGAGAATTCACTGAAGAAATGATAGTCCAACCACCGCACTGCATTCCTCTACCTTAGGACTTTGCAGAAGGAAAAGGGAGAGCTTGCTGCTTCCTAGACATCACACACATGCACTATTCTTCAGAGCTGTGGTCTTTAGCCACATTCACTCTCCAAATGCCACACCTACCGGCTCCAAGTGAACACTGCCTTCCTCCTTTGGCTCCAAGGGAAGAAATAACAGCAGCAGGAAAAAAAAACGTGATATCTTGCTCTAGATTCCTGTGTTGTTCCCCACCTCCCCAACACATTGTGACCTCCTCAGCAGAGGGAGGGGAACATGTTTTAGTTGAGACAGAATTTTATAGGAAAGGTAGTGAGCAGTCTGCTTGTACTAACCTTCGGAATCTAAGCACCTTTCAAATTTCTGGGATAACTGGTAGGTATCAAAACAGCGGATCCTTGGCTTGTAAGTTCCTGAAAGAAAAAAAAATCCCTAATAAAAAATAAAACAAAGAGATAGCACCAAAGTATGTTTTTTGGCTAGTTTTACAAATTTTTACAAATATAGACTTTACTATATTTCAACCACAAGAACTCTGACCTTAGAAAACAACAGAATCACCAAAATGCCTGTGTCTGGGAAAACAAGCCTCTCTAACTAGCCTTGAAGATTCTTCGTTTTCATGCCTGAAAGCTCTCTCCCTAGACATAGGTCCTCTTCTTACTCTTCCTGATTACTGGATGCATTGTTTAAAATTTATTAAGTAAGTTTGAAAGTTTAAGTCTTCTCATACCAACAAATCCTACTAAAAAGTATTCAGGTCTGTAGCCTGCTTCAGTAGTGATGAAATGTAGTATTATCTGCTGACCTTTAAAACAATATATAAATAACAATGCTCAGAAGTTATACATATACACATATCCACACAAAAAAAATGAAAATAATAAGGAATTTAGTTTTTAACTGTATCCTGTTTCTAAACACAAATGCTGCAGCACAGTGTCATAACATCAAGACCCTGGCTCTATCATATCGTAACAGCGAACTCAAACTTTAAGCAATGCTCCATTTAAAAAACAAGCTCTATCAAATCTACCTTAAATAGGTCTTCTGTGATCAAGATTTTCCAGAACTTCCGGCCTTTTCTACAGAGAGATGTTTAGTTAACTCACCAACTGCCATAATATACTGTCCATCTCTTGACACCTTAATCTTTGTGCTAATTGTGGGCATCTCAAAGTCTTGAATAAGTTCAATTCTTCTACGAATATCTATAAAAAAAAAAGTTGCTTTTAAAGACAGTATTTTATCAATCAAAAAGTGTAAGGATTTCTTATACAGTACTTTGAATTAACTGAAAAGAAAGTTAGTCTTGATCTTCTCTATGGGAAATTAAGATACGCTATACACAGATTAACACAGTCTGTTAACCCTGAGAAGTTGGCTACCTCTATGCAGAATTTGTCTATTCAGAGGTAGCAAATACATAACATGTTACTATATACTTTATTAGCAAACATATATCACACATTTTGTAGAACTGAGAGGTTGTATATTATACCTCATCATCCTGTTACCTCTTTATAAGTGTTATAGATGGACAAGTATTTCTATATCACATTTCTTATGACACTTAAATGGACATCCTTCATTCTGTAAAAGAAGCTTAGACTAAAATGGTGATGTTCTTGTACTGCTCTAAACACAGCAGAATACACACAGAGGAATCTGTAGTTGGGCTTAACCATAAAACATACATAAAATGTACCCACCATGATTTTGTTCAATCTCCAATCCCAATACTTAATGCCTAGAAGTTAAAATTATATTGGTAATATTCTATTTATATTAAGTTATACAGGCAGTTAAAGTATGGTCTCCTAAGCTTAATTCTTTGTAGCTATCAAAATATGATAGATATGACTAAACTTCTTTTAAAAGAAGTTTGCAATTTTTTGTAAGGTTTGTAAATTTCTGGACTTTCATGTTGTGTACAGGTAAACACATATTATTAAGGACTACAAAACGGGACAACGCACCGACATCTTTCTTCTGTAAAGCTCTTTTCTTCCTGTCAGAGAGCCACTGAAAGAAATAAAGGACAGTTATCATCAGTATTAAGTTTATTATACATAAACAAACCAGACAACTGCTTTAAGCTCATCAAATTTAAAAGTATAAGAAATTCAGGATCTGTCAGGCACCTTGTTTTTTTTTTTCTCTTCATTAGTTACATTAAAAATCCATTAGTAAGTTTACCAATTTTACATTTTAAAACAATGCCTACATTTTAAATTGTTGGCTGCCTGCAGAGTATCATAACCACCATATTGCTAGAGATATATGCAAAATATATATACAGAGGTATATGCAAAAAGTATTCCTAACTTTTTGTAACTGTTTTAGTCATATGTAGTTATATATACAAAGTTATGTATAACATATATGACATACGGTATATAATATATATCTATTATATAGTTATATATAACAAATATGTAACACATATAACTATATAACGTACAAATATAAGTTATATATAACACATATATATAATAAAAAGTCAGCCAGGAACAGCTTTGTAAGCCACTCCATATAGCATCAGCTCAAATGATTAGCAGCAAGTTATAGCAAACTAGCCAGCAAATCAACCACAACCTCGCTGGCCAACAAATGCAGAAGCCCCTGGTGTCAGGCTGGGCTGTGCATCCCTGGTCAAAACCCCAGCAGTTACGAACCTACAGCGATCTGGGCAAGGAAAGAACCCCCGTTCTTTCCCCGAAAGAGTAACGTGTTGTTAGCAGCGCCCCGGCTGCCCCAAACCTCTGCTGCAGGGACACGTGCAGGCGAGCGGCGCGGCCCAGGCCCCGCAGCCGGGCAGGGAGCAACGGGCGCGACACGGCGGCTGCTCCCGGCCGGCAGGGCGCCTTCCC